AAAATTGTAATCTCTATTTTATTGTACCTTACATTGTACACACAATGTTGCAATCGACTTATTAATCAAACGAATTTGGATGATTTCCATTGAAAACAAGTTTTTTGTACTAAAAATGAACAATTAAAGACAAAAAAAACAAAAATCTTCTGGAAATGTTGTTTGAAAAAAAAAAAGGTTGTAATCACGAATAAATGAATAATTAATAAGAAGATTAAACATATGTAAATATTACATAGATTTAATTCCACCTATCAATTATGTAAACAAGACAAAAAAACCAAACTATTTTATTGTATCTTACATGGCATACACCATGTTGCAATCAACATATCAATCAAACGAATTTGAATGATTTCCATTGAAAACCAGTTTTTTTTTTTTGTATTAACAATGAACAATATAAAGAAAAAGAAAAAAAACAAAAGGCTCCTGAAAATGTTGTTTGAAAAAACAAAAAGTTGTAAGCTCGAATAAATTAACAGTTAATAAGAAGATTATAAACATATGTACATATTACATAGATTTAATTACACATATCAATTATATATCAAAAAAAAAAAAAAATACTACTAACCCTTTGAATTGTTAGTAACACGTGTATTGTTTCCAACATCTTTTATTAATTACCTATTAGATCATTTATATAAGAATGTTTGCTTATCTTAAGTAAAGAAATAATAATAACTTATACTTATCTCTCTCTCTCTCTCACTCTCTCTTTCTCTCATTCACTTTTTGTTGTTGTCTCTTTTTAATTCTTGATATCATTGCTACTTGTGGGAGGGATTTATTCATTATTCATCTCTCTCTTTCTTTCTTTCTTTCTTTCTTTTCTCATAACGAGAAACGTTTCATCAGTTCATAGAATATATGTGTAAGTTATAATGATGAGGGAGGACTAGGTTTTTAATACAAAAGTCGTTGAAGTATATAAAACCAGAATTGCTTTCAGTCGATAACGAGTCTTTGAGAGTAGTACTTCTCGATCATAAGTACTCATATTTAAATATCATTTCATCTAAATCATACAAATCTATTTTTTTATTATTTTTGTTTTTGTTCTAAAGAAAGATTTGGAAACTTTAAATGGGGGTTGAAGAAAATGAACAATTTTAATTTTCAAATTACATTTGTGACAAATAACAATTTCTAATTTTGTGATATAGTGATCGATAAATTAGAAAACAAAAAAGATTAATTGTTCAATTGTATAAAAAAAAAACCATACAAATCTATTTTTATTTGTTTTTGTTGTTGTTGTTGTTGTTGTTGTTCTAAAAAAAGGATTTGTGGAAACTTTAAAAAGGGGGTGAAGAAAACAGTATTAATTGTTCATTTGTATATATAAAAAAAAGAAAAGTAGATTATTTTGGTTTTTGTTTTTTTCTTTCTATGATTTAATAGGAAAATAATGAGATAACATAATTCGAGATGATCAAAGTTTAAAGTATGTGAACTGTGAACTGTGAAACACCAATTTTGGAAAATAATTTATTATAATAATTTATTTCTCTCTCTATATATATATATATTGTTCTTCTAACAAAATTATAAATTAACAAACATTATGCTGATAAACGTAATTATTATTGTAACAAGTTTACTTGAACTTACGAACTTTTGTAGATTTTTCTTATTTTCACAAACAATTGACACAGATTTTAAATCTATAAGTTGAAATATTGAAATATATATTTATATCGATTGAGACAAATTAAATGTGATCGAAGAGTGAAATTACAAAAAAAAAAAAAACAAAAAATATTGAATTATTTTAAATGTATTATTTATTTTTTTTGTTGACATTTATATTCGCATTGATTTTTATAAAACGATTGTGAAAATGATAAAGAAGTTCTTAGATAAGACTTTGAAATTGCATATGAGTCAAGATGATAAATCATTGTCATTAGATTAAATAAAATCTAATCTTTTTTTCTCACACACTCTTTTCCATCTTGTGTATGTGTGTGCGTGTGTGTGTATGTGTGTATTTTTTTTTTTAATTGTCTCTATACATTTCATTTACTATTTTATTTATGGTGGTATAAACATACACGTGAATATACAACTTTTATCATAGTTTATTGACGTCAATTCATTTAAAAACAAAAAAAGAAAGAAATTTTGTAAAATAAAAACCAAACAAGTGGAAAAACAATTTTTGAGAGACACAATGAACGGAAACGTTGTACCGATTGATATCAAGGTATCTTATCTTATTTATTATTCATTATTCTAGATAATTTATCAATATTAATTAATGATCGATTAATCATATCGATTATAATCATTTCGAATGTATAATATTATCAATTTTAATATATTAATTCTATATATATTTTTTTTTTTTATTCTAATTCAATTCACATCGATATATTCAGTCGAGTCATAAATAACTTCCGCTTTTTTTTTAATGAGACAAACAATGGTGTTTTTGTCATTAATAAATGCACGACACTTTTCATGGAGTTTTTTTTTTTTGTAATCTTTGTATTTGTTGGACGTGTATCTATTGAATTTTGTTTCAATATTACCTTTAAAAGGTTCATCAAAGTTGGAAATACGTACTGCATCTTGGTTCATCTTTTAAGGTTGTATCTTCACAACGAAATTTTATAAACCAATTTCTAACTGCCCTATCAGTTATCAAGTTCTGCATTGTATATGCTGTATATTTTTGCAGTTGCCACTTTAGTGCTGTTGCTTTGTTTCAATTCTTACAGCATATTACATGTCGAATGTGCACTTTTTACTAAAAGTTGGAAAAACGTCCTGCACATGGTTCATCTTTTACAGTCGTATCTTCAGAATGGAATTTTACAAACCAATTTCTAACTGCCCTATCAGTTATCAAGTCCTGCACTGTATATGCTGTATATTTTTGCAGTTGCCACTTTAGTTTCAATTCTTACAGCATTACATGGTCGAATATGCACTTTTTACTAAAAGTTGGAAAAACGTTCTGCACTTGGTTCATCTTTTACAGTCGTATCTTCAGAATGCAATTTTACAAACCAATTTCTAACTGCTCTATCAGTTATCAAGTTCTGCACTGTATATGCTGTATATTTTTGCAGTTGCCACTTTAGTGCTATTGCTTTGTTTCAATTCTTAAAGCATATTACATGTCGAATATGCACTTTTTGCTATTCATTTCAGTGGTTAAGAAAAAACTGTTAAATGTAACATTGGACTATATAAAAAATTTGACAGAAGACTAAACTGAATTCTCATTTATACAGTGATATTAAAAATTCGTTTGTTTCGGTGATTTATAAGTAGGTAAATACGAAAAATAGATTTTACATAGTCACATTGGAAGTTACTTATGACTCGATCTAATAATAACCTTTTTTTTTTTAATACAAATAAATAAATAAATAAATTAATTAATTTATTGTAATAATAAAATTATACATGTGAAATTTGTCAACTTCTTTTTTTATTCAGATGGATTGGAAAAACAATGCGGAAATGAAAAGACGTGAAAGAAAGGGTGTTGTTTATCAGGTGAGATGAAATTAACAAAAAAAAAAAAAAGAAAAAAATATAATAAAAAATACAACAAATATAAAACAAAATCAAATCTTATTTAATGGTATTGTGAAGACAATAAGTGTGATAAGTTTATTTGTTAGAAAATATTGTTTTATTGTATTACGAAATTCTAGATTTGATAAATACGACTCGTATTTGAAATTACGCAATCAAAGTGTATCAATTTTTTTTTTTTCTTTTGGATGATAATCTGGTGTCATGGACCCATCATGATGATATTATTGAAATTTTTTCTCTTATCGTTCAACTAATTTTGTATTTTTTCCTTTTTTTTTTCTAACTTGTTATCACATTGAAAAAAATATATTTTGTATATCTTTGTACCAAAGCTTTATACACTTACACACAATTATTGTCAAACTTATTTATTTATTATTATTTAAAAAACAAATTATTAGTATTATTATTATTATTATTATTATTAGTTTAATGTCTATTAAGTTTATTTGTCTAATTAGTTAATATTTAATAAGTTAACTAATTATACAAATAAATGATATAAAACTTATTAAACTAATATTAGTTTAATATTTGATATTAAATATATTTGATATATAAAATACATATTGAATATTAATTTCAATTATTTATAAATGTCTACTAAGTTTATAATAAATTATTATAAAACGAAAAATCACGATTGTTCAGAATTAACTAACGTAATACATTCCTTAGTACATACAGAATCATTTATATAACAACAACTACGTTTGATCAAACTGTAAGTTTTATAACAATTTCTAACGTAACTGTGTTTCTTTCTTTTTCTAAAAAAACGGGTTTTTTTTTTTCTCTATACTGATAATTACTTGTTGAAAATTCAAGGAATATTATAATAACTGGTTGTACGATGTATCACACGCGTCCAATAATTATTCATAGTTGATTAATTTGAAACGTAAAATTAACGCGACATTTAACATTATTTTGTAAAATACAGTTAAATCATTTTATTAAATGACCAATATTATATCTTATCTTCTTATCTATTTTTCATTCCTTATTTTATTTTTTTTCTTCTTTTAATTATTCTTTCGTTAATACATAATTATTTATTATTTTCATTCAAGAAACTATACAGTTTAATTAAATGATTTTAACACTAACACAATTATCAATTACATTTTGCAATAATGTTACGTATTCTTGTTGAAACCAAAAAAAAAATATCATAAATATACAGTGTGGTTCAAAAAAGAACAATTTTAATATTCCTATAAATTATTCATGTTGATTATACTCAAATATTTTGTAACACACATATATATATATATATATAAATGGTTATCTATTTAAAATGTAAATTTATTCAATCAAACATTCATCGATAATTAACAAAACATCCTGTATAATATTGATTGAACATATTTTGAATAATTTTGTAGTATTATATAAAAGTATATTGCAATTAATAATTCTAATCCCATATATAAGTGTCAATTTAAATTCATAGTTACGTGTATACTCTTATGTATTCAATTCTATAAAGTTATATATACATATATATATATATATATCTTACTAAATCATTACAAAATTTTGTACAATTTGTTTTTTCAGATATTAATGAGTCTCAGTGCAAATTTCGTAATAATTGGACCAGCTATGGGGTTTGGTTACAGTGCTGTTGCACTTGGACCACTTAGATCTGAGTCAAGTGACGTTCAAATTAATTTTAATCAAGCTAATTGGATCGGTTAGTTTTAATTTTTAAACATTTAACACGTTTCATTTGAGAAAAGATGAAAAAAAAACCAAAAAAACAAAAGAAAATATTTTTTGCAGCAACTTCATCAGCTTTGGGTATTCCAATTGGTTGCGTTTTATCGAGTTTTTTGATGAGACGTGGTAGGAAGTTAACATTGTTGATGGTATCGATAATATCATTCATCGGTTGGATAATTATTTACATGTCAAACAGTTATGAACAAATATTAATTGGCAGAGTAATATCTGGCATTGGTACGGGATTAGGATCGATACCTGCCACTGTTTATTCTGGTGAAATTGCTAATATTAAATGGCGTGGTACTATGGTTACTTGGACTGGAAGTTTCATAGCTTTGGGAGTTTTGATAGTTTACTTTTTTGGTTGTATCTTTAAGGTAATTTTACAACATTTTTTTTTTAGAAATTAAATCAATTATATTATATATATATATATATATATATATATATATATATATAAATTACGTGTCACGTTGTTTGTTTGCAATGGACTCCTAAATGATTGAACCGATTTTAATAAAATTTTTCACACTGTCTGCAGTTTCATTCAACTTGAAAGATAGAATAGTTTATATCTAAATTTATAATCACAATATTATTTGTTTATTAACAAAGAGTCATGATTATCTCTGTTAGTTCGATAAGATTCTAACAGATGAGGATATAAGATAATTCGTTGACTTAATATATATATTAATATTAGTGTTGTGTACCAAATAGTACATATATTTTACTAGAATCGAATAACTTCGATTATCGCCTCGAATATTCTCTATAACTCGAATATCGACTAACTTCAAGCTATAAACTTTTCGCATAACAATTTATAAATGAAATAAAAAATTAATTAAATAAACAACTTAAATTGGACCGAATTATAAATCTAAACCATTCTCGAATCCACCTGAAGACACACACAAAATTTCATTAAAATCGGTCCAGCCGTTTAGGAGGCGTTCAGTGACATACACACGCACAGAAAATATATATATATATATATAAAGATATGTACTGTGTTATATTTCAAACAATATGTTACAATAATTAATGTATTACCAATATTGGTAATTAATTAATTTATAAACATACTGGTTTAAATATTTATAAATTTTGTTTTATAGGAAGATTGGCGAATGATAGCACTAATGTGTTCATTATTCCCCATATTATCAATTGCACTGATAGTACTAGTATTACCAGAATCCCCTATGTGGTATCGAGAACGTGGTAGATTGGAGGAAGCTGTTGAAACATTAAAAAAATTTCGTGGTATACCAAAAGATGATCCTGCCACTACCGACATTTTATTAGAATTAAAACCAAATAATCAACAACGACACAAAAAACATCTAATGAAACATTTGTTTAGAAGAAATGCAATAATACCATTTGCAATAATGTTGATTTACTTTTTGTTTCAACAATTTTCGGGAATATTTGTGATGGTTTATTATGCTGTTGACATTGTTCAAAGTGCTGGCATCAAATTGGATCCATATTTGGGTGCAGTTTTTATCGGTGTTGCTAGATTTATCGGTAGTATAGTGATTGCATTATTTTCATCGAAGTATGGTAGAAGAGTACCATCGATAGTTTCTGGAAGTGGCATGACACTATCCATGGGTATGTTGTCCATTTATTTACTCATGAATGATAAAGGATACGTCATCAAAGATGGTGGTATTATACCTGTTATCTGTGTAGTAACTTACATATTTTTAAGTACACTTGGTTTCTTATCGATACCATTTGCCATGATTGGTGAAATTTATCCGAGTAAAGTCAAGGACATACTTTCTGGATTAACAACATGTATCACTTATATATTTAGTTCAATTACTATTAAAACTTATCCAAATATGTTATTAGTTATGGGTAAACATGGTGTTTTCTTTTTTTATGCAATTGTGTCATTATTGGGAACACTTTTTATAATATTTTGCTTACCAGAAACCAAAGGCAAATCATTGAATGAGATTGAAGAGATGTTTAATAAAAAAAAGAATGACAGTAATGTTTTAGAAAGTGATGGTACAGTTGCCATGGTTTCTAATGGTGTTGAAAATATACAAGTTGATCATGTCAATGTTAACAGAGTTTAAGTTTAAGATTGACTGGGTTTTTTCTTTTTTTTTCTTTTTTTTTTTTTTCAGATAGATAATATTGTCATTGTAAAATATATAGATTATAATTAGTATCTATTAGATATTTGATTATGTATTATAAATAGAATAATTAATAATTATGATAATAGGTAACTGAAAATTGACACGTTTTTATCAGACAGTGATAAGAGTTTATTTACACGATAAGATTTATTATGAAGTAATATTGTAATAAATGTACATATATATATATATAAATTATTTTTACAGACCAATTATTATGTTTTATGTAAAATATTCAACAAAATATGAATTGTTGTTCACAAATATCGTGTTATTCAAATGTTACCTGTAATATTGGGATCTCTGGCAGGGAGTAATTGGCGTAAGCAATTCGACCTATCTACACTAATATTGAATTTAGCCACCAGATAGCGGTATTCAAGTAGCTAGAGATCCCAATAATATGTTTTTTATTTGTTATTGCAAATGATGTGAATGAATTACATCTGTGTTTTTTAACACGCGTTTAAATTTAATTCATAATTAACGAGATATTTGAAATTATCATAAAAATACAAAATATATTATTGAAGAAGAAGAAGAAGAAGAAAAATATTCAAGTTATGTTTAATTAGTTAACGATTAATAAAAATACATATTTTAAGATAAATGTATAAATAAATTTTCGATGATATTTATTTGATTTAAACGCACAGTTGATGTATGAATATCATGATTGAAATTAAAAACATGAGAAAAATGAAACCATTAATAATCAAAACTTGTTTAAACACAGATGTCATTCTAAATATTTCACTTGAAATAAAAAAAAAAAAAAAAAAACAAATGAATATAAGCGTGTTTTATTAACAAATGTATTTGTTAAACATTATTTTCACGTGAAACGTTTATTAAATTTCATGCAAATTCATGGGACAGATGATTTCTCATCATGTTATATTTATCATTTGATCAAAGTAAGAAAATTATTGAACAAAACTCGAAAGAAGTTTTACGTTTACGAATAGACTTTTGTATATGTGTATGTGTGTGTGTGTGTGTGTGTGTGTGTGTGTTAGTTACTTCTATTAATGGACAAATATAAATTTCAAATAATAATCACAAAAGAAACTTTTCAAGATAAGATGTAATTATATCTTACGATAAAATTGTTTGCTTTAGTTTCGACAGTACTTGTAAGTTGTATTATATATAAGTATATATATATATATATGTATGTACATAAGACGAAGTGTTGAGATAAAGAGAAAATTTTTTGTTTTTATTTTTTATTTTTTTTTTTTTTATTATTAAAATCTTAAATAATAAATTAACAAAAGGTCGTAACAATCACGAATAATTAAATAACAAACACAAAATAATGTACAATTGTAATAATGTGTTGAAACGCAGGAAATCAAATGGAAAAGAGATGAAAGGTATGAAAAAGAGTACGGGTGGGGGGAAGGGTTGAGGGATGGAGGGTGGGAGGGAGCTAGGGAGAAAGGGAGGGGATGGATTAAAGACGACGAGACTCATACGAGTAACTAATAATAGTGATGATGATAATAGTTGATTCAAGCGATAATAACGATAACACACATTTTAGTTAACGTTATAACATTAATTACAAAATGTGTTGAGAATAATAATAATAATAATAATAATAATAATAATAATAATCGTAATAATATGTCGTTGGAGATTGACCTCAAAAAAAAAAAAAAACAAATTAGAAATAAATTATCTCTTATTTGTATAAAGTTGCTTATAAATGTATGTATAATGCAAAACCCTACGATAGGGGGTAGTCCCTTTTTTTATTCTCTAAAGAAGAAGAAGAAGAAGAAGAAGAAGAAGAAGAAATAGAAAAATTAAATTAAATTAAATTAAATTAAATTAAATAAAATAAAATTAAATTAAATTAAAATAAAAGGAACGTTCGAAGATTTTGTTTTGCATCGATTCATGGTTTGTTGTTGTTGTTGTTTGTTTTTGTTTTATGAAAAAGTTTAATTCGACGAATTATTATAATTATTATGAAATCATGGCAAAGGTACTAAAAGTATTAATTATGTTTAACTTTGATGATTGAATTGTTTAAAACGTGTTCTCTCTCTGTCTCTATTCAAATTTATCTCTTGAATGTTTTTTTTTTCTTCATTAAAACAAAAAAAAACTGTTAACGAAGTATTCCTAACCTAAGAAGAGAACACGTTTTGTTTTGTTTCTTCTACAATGTTTTTTTTCTAATGCGAAACTAAAAATATCTTTCGTCGTCCATATTTATCTTCGATGTTAATACAATGTAAAAAAAAAAACAAGATAATTCGCGTACGTGACGATTTAATTTAAACAATAATGAAATGAATAAAAAAAAAAATAATAATAATATTCAAAGCTAAAACACTTCAAGACACGACTGTTCTGTGTATATGTGTGTGTGTGTGTGTGTGTGTTGTGTGTCATTGTCAGGGATTAGCTTTGAACTTTTGGCACGAACTATCCACGTACGAGAATTTGAAACGAGTCTAACACCTCTTGTTGTTTTTGATTATTTTTATTATTATTCTTTTTTTTTTTTATATTAAATAATAAATAAATAATCAACATTTGTCGATAATATTGTTCAATGATGATTGTATATATGAAATTTGAGAGAAAAAAAAAAAGACTCGTTTCTAAATTATCGTTCAAATGATTCATGTCAATTAGACGACAATTAGTGTGAAAATTAGCTATCTTAATTTTCTAATAATTTCAGTAAAGCTTTTTTTTTTTTTATTCTCTCTCTCTTTCTCTATTTTGAAGATTATTTTTTTTTTATTTAATCTTCCTTCACTGATATTACATTTATATATTAAGGGAATCGAAAAGTAATGTCGTTACTACGTTTCTCAAATTATTTTTAATATTTGAAATCAAATAATTGATTGATGCATACCAAAAAGATAGAAAAAAGGTTCATTAATTAATTTCATTAATTAATTGATTAATAATAAAAATGTTGGTTTGTAGAAAATTATTCGTTTGCAATTTTTGAGGTTATAATGCGACATTACTTTGCGATCCATTTAATATATATTTATAATTCAATTTAAAAATTGAAATTCATTTCTTTTTCTTTTTTTTTTTTTTTTTACTTTCTTGTTTCCGATCAATCTCACATTTTACGAAAAAGAAAGAAAGAAAGAAAAAAAAAAGGAAAGAAATTGCATAGTTCGTTTCAAAGTCTAATTTTAAGATTAGAAAAAAAAAGATGATAAGTAAATATCGATATAATAATAGTAATAATAATAATAATAATAATATTAATTAATTAATTAATTAATTAATCAATTGTTATCCGTTCTAGACGAATTATATCGTCTTTCGACGAATCTAAAATGAAATGTTTTTTCCGGCAACGCCAATGTACCAATGGGTACTTTGTAAATTTCATTATCTACCGGTAATATCGTAAAATTTTTCAACAAAGTAGCAATGGTTGAAAAACTAATATACTGAACCATCTTATAACCCATGCAAGATCTTCTACCACCACCAAATGGTAAAAAGTGTTCCGGTTTGTGAAGTCTACCGTCACGGAGGAACCTTTCGGGCATGAATTCTTGAGGTGAGATCCACAATTCGTCGGACATGTTTAATTCGTAATTATTTAAAAATATAAACGTATCCTTTTCGATTCTATAACCTGTAAAACAAACACAAATACAAACACATATTTTATTAATAAAATTGAAAGTGTCTATAAAATATGAGATAATAGTTAAAAGTAACAGGTTTGATCAAACATTTACCTGAGATTGAACTTTCCTGATTGGCCACGTGAGGTACAATTGGACTTGCAATCAACCTGATAGCTTCCAAAATGATAGCTTCAGTATAAGGCATGACAATTCTATTTCCCAATCCAACAAATTTGTCTTCAATACCAACCGAATCGATTTCCCTTTGTGCAGTTTCTTGTATGTGTGGTCTGGTAGCCAAAAATCCAAGAATCTTAACAAGAAGATTACCAACCGCTGAATGACCACCAATAATATCTTCCAAAGCAAACATAGCAACGTCCCATGACATGGTTGGTTCAGAATTAGTTTTAACATGATTTATCAAACAATCGATATAATCTTCTTCCGGTATAACCCCAGTCCAATTGTTCAATCTTTCTTCAATGATATCTTCATCGACGAATTGACGAATCTCGTGACTCCAATTGGCCATTCTTGCCATGTTACGTTGATGCAATGGCATTAAGAATGGCATAAAATCAGCAGCATAACCTTGATTAACTTCGTAAAAGACTTTGTCAAAATTGTCAACCATCTTGCGAAATGGTTTGTACTCAAATGGGAAACTCTTCGAACAGAAATATCTCACGAATACGCTTGCACAGGTATGTAATACCAATGGTTTTGCATGTACGCTGTCACCTGAATATGAACTCAAATGATTCATCATAATCTCTAATTCGGCACCAATTATATCATTCAATTGATTGTAACGCATTGTGAAAGAACGTGGAAATGTGTGAGCTCTTAGCATCTCTCGACGTGTCTTCTGTAATTCGGACCAATTGCAAAATGCAAGAGCTGTAAATGAAAACAAATCAAGAGAAAAATAAGAATTATTAACAAAATGATTAATAAACATTTTTAGGATTGTATAAAAGATTCTTTTTTTTTTTTTTATTACCATGTAATGTGAGAATGTAAATTGAGACTTGACATTAAACTTGACCTTACTCCAGAATCGTATGTCAATTTGTCGTTTGTTTAAATTTCATTGGATAGAAAGGGGAATAAAATAAAAATTATGCGTGCACGCAATTATTCCTTTCTCTCTCTCTCTCTCTCTGGTTTTTCTTATCTTTCTTCTCCTTTTACAACGGCGAATCGATCGTGAAATACGCGGAAATGCAAGGTCGTTTACTGAAATAACAACAGCTAAGCCTTTAATAAGAAATTTCAATTGACTCAGCAAATAAAATTATTAAATTTTACAACAAATCGTTATACTC